TGCTTGGCTCACATCAGGGGGATGAGATAGGAGAAGGGTCTTTTGATGTGGCTCCATGCATAGGCAGGCAACCATTTACTCTGCCAGCTCAGGAGAGATCGTCCATGTGTATTTAGCTGTGTGTGTGTTGGGGGAGGGCAAGGGGAGTGAGGGTGGAAGTAGAGCAGGGAGTGTAAATAAGGCCAGAGTGGCTCAGTGGTTGAGCATCGACCTATGAACCAGGAGGTCACGGTTCAATCCCGGTCAGGGCACATGCCCAGGTTATGGGCTTGATCTCCAGTGTGGGGCATGCAGGAGACAGCCGATCAATAATTTTCTTTCATCATTGATGTTTCTAGCACTCTCTCCTTCTCCCTTCCTCTCTGGAATCAATAAAAAAATATATATATTTTTAAATGTATATTTTTCTCATCCCATACTATAATCTCGAACAAGAAACATGCAAAAATTAAAAGATCTGGATTTTATTTATTTATTTTTTTAAAGATCTGGATTTTAGAATAACCAAAGCAAAATTCTACAGACTCCTGGGCTGCTGGGTATCCTGAGCAGGGAACGTAACCCACCCAGATGCTGCTCCAAGGGCTCAGAGCCAAAAACCAGGCAGAAATGCCCATCTAAGAATGTATTGTTCTTCTGCAGTGGAACATGCAGATAGGACTGTAGAAAAGAAGGGGAGGGGAAATGACTGGGAAGAAGCATTCCAGTTAGAAGCCAAAAACTAAAAGGAAATTCATGAAATTCTTGATAAGAGTGTCACAACTGGAACAGGATTAACAAATCAGACACCCGCAGGACTACTGTTGTGGGGAAGAATCCTTTCAGCTAAGAAGCCAAACATTAAAAACAAAACCAATCAAAAAAAGGAGGGGGGACTCTCTGAGGGGAAGGGGTGAAGTAGAGAATAATTTGGAGACCTAAATCCTCTCTCTCATCTTAAAAACAGTTGGTTACTTCCATTTTCAAAGCTCTACTTATAAAACTGAAACAAAAAAGGGATTTGAAAACAGATCAATGGTCTTTTTAGCCCAGGCTTCTTGCTTCAAATTTGCTAAACTCACTAATTAGTTTTGGTACCTTAGTTATAGATAGAGTACCTCATGCATTCATTCATTCACTCAATAAGGATCACTGAGAACCAGATATTGTGCTAGGTGGAAGGAGTAGGTATAAAAATGCAGTCTCTTCACTCAAGAGGAGTGGTGTGAAACTGGACATGTAAAAATGTCAAAGAAGGGGCTAGTAGCTAAAATTGATGCATGCAAACGAAGCACCAAAGCCTGTAGGAAAGGTCAAGGGGGAGAGGGAAGGTATACCAATGATCATTGCAATCTGGGATTCCAATTTGAATGAAAACCAGTTTTTGAAGAGTTTCATGGTAATTCCTCAAGTCATAATTCTCAGTAGTGCCATGATTTTCTGTTTTCAAAGTAAAATTTGGCTTTTGGATAAGGCTCTAACAGAAAAATGCATTAATAGTGGCTGCTAGCCCTAGCCGGCTTGGCTCAGTGGATAGGGCTTCAGCCTGCGGACTGAGGGGTCCCGGGGTCGGTTCCGGCCAAGGGCGCATGCCTGGGTTGCTGGCTCGGTCCCCAGTGTGGGGTGTGCAGTAGGCAGCCGATCGATGATTCTCTCTTGTCATTGTTGTTTCTATCTCTCTCTCTCTCTCTCTCCTTCTCCCTTCCTCTCTGAAATCAATAAAGAAATATATTTTAAAAAAATAGTGGCTGCTACTGTAATAAATTACTTTCAAGTATCTTACTTAGATTTCTGGGGATAATTAATTTTTTAATTGCTTCATACGCCATGGCTTGTAAATTATTGACTATTGCTTTATAACTATTACAAACCAAACACATAGCATTTGTTTTCCATTAATCAATGTGTTGTAGAAATTAGGCTAATTTTTTTCCTTTCTTATTGATCTTTATTACAGGAAGAGTGACATTTAATAGGGCAGTAGCTTCAGAGACCCTGCAGCGAAGTCTTAAATCACAGAGGTAATCACCAACAATTAGGATGTTGTTTCAATTGGTTAGTTGTAGGAAATACTTGTAACTAGCTTAGAGGTTTCTTGCATAGGACTAACCATCTTAATGAAGTATTATACCGGGAATATAAATAGTTCATTTCCTTCCAACTGCATTTTTGGTGATCAAATCAATACTTTGAACTCTCCAAGATTCCCTTAAATTGTACAGAATAGAAGACACAAATAAGAAAATAATTATTTTTCATTAACTTAACTCTACAACTTAGCTATGTCTTGGCATTTGCTCAGCTTTCTAAGTGGAATTTAAACTTGTCAAATTTATGATATTAAATTGCATGTCATATTGCAATAGTAATAATTTTCTAGCTTATAAGTTTGTAATTTTAGGGTGAACTCTTAGAGTGACATATTAAGGGTGAGACTTGACCACTTACTTAGGTAGCCACCTCCCTGTGTGTGTGTGACATAGCTAAGACTTACCCTGCGTAATACCCCTGAGGATGGCGTGTGTAACTGATACCCACCTTGTACTTTGATTAACACCCTGAGTGACACACATATAAAGTTTTCAGAAGAAAAAAGTAGCGAACAATTCAAACTGCTCTTTAGGAAAGCTTAATGAATGGCCTGTGGGTTGGGGGTTGATTTGGAGCAAGTCAGCTAAAATCCACTCCTCTATATAACCTGAAAATGGGGGAAATAATTCAGGCCTACTATTTTAAAAAGTGGTTTTAGGAGCAAATTTTTAAAAATACATAAAAGTACTGAGAGATACCATGTTAAATAATGCAACAGAAAAACTTTCCGAAAGCCATTGGAAAGACAGATTTCAATCCTCTACCCTCAATAACCTCATCTCTAAAACAGGCTTCCGTTCTTCAGCCCATTAAGTAATTCAGCAAAATTTGGAGAACACCTGTGTCTATCTGTGGTTGCCACAGTTGTCATTCTGCAAATCTGACCCATACCTCCAACAACTATCATGGTTCCTCTATCCCACCCCTAAGTTACCCAGTCCTACCCCAGCGTAAGGCCCATATTTCTATGTTGGCTGTTCAGTCGGTCCTCAAGCACATCTAAAATCTCAGATATAGCCCTGCCAGTGTGGCTCAGTGGTTGAGGTTCAACCTATGAACCAGGAGGTCATGGTTCAATTCCCAGTTGGGTTTCGGGCTCGATCCCCAGTGTGGGGCATGCAGGAGGCAGCCAATCAATGATTCTCTCATCATTGATGTTTCTATCACTTCCTTTCCCTTCCTCTCTGAAATCAATAAAAATATATTTAAAATATCAGATATATATGACATAAATGGACAATTGAAACTGCAGCAGTGATCTTCAAACTGGGCTCCATGTAACGACCAGTGTTTCTTGTAGAGGCAGGAATCATGGACATATTCAATTTGTATCCCCCTATCAGGCTACAGTTTTAAACTTTTAACTCTTTTGCAATAAAAAAAATCAACAGAAGAATTTTATACACTTTAAGAGTCTAAAAATCCTTAAGGCAATATATTGTTCCCACAGTAATAGTCTAATGCAAAAGTTTCGCCTAGACTAGGTAGCTCAGTGTGTCGTCCCGATACACCAAGGCTGCAGGTCTGGTCCCGTCAGGGCACATATAAGAATCAACCAATGAATGCATAAATAAGTGAAACAACAACTCACTGTTGCTCTTTCTCTCTCATTCAAATCAATCTATAATTTTTTAAAATGTCCTATGGACTATAGAAATAAAAGCAGGAGGCATCCTTTATGAATGAAGTGGGTTCATGAGACCTCGTATACGAGTAACTTCTATAAAAACAAAAGATAAAACTATGCATCCTTGAATCAAATAGCCCCATTAAAAAAAACTTTTAACAAAAGGATTTCTTCCTTAAAATGAAAAAATCAAATCAAGTCACATAAACAACATGATATCGGTCATGTACTGCTTATGACCAGGGGTCCTCAAACTTTTTAAGCAGGGGGCCAGTTCACTGTCCCTCAGACCGTTGGAGGGCCGGACTATAGTTTAAAAAAAAACTATGAACAAATTCCTATGCACACTGCACGTATCTTATTTTGAAGTAAAAAAACAAAACGGGAACAAATACAATATTTGTATTTGCATGTGGCCCGCGGGCCGTAGTTTGAGGACCCCTGGCTTATGACAAACGTCCACATTATGGTCTAAACCAGCGGTTCTCAACCTGTGGGTCTCGACCCCTTGGGGGGTCGAACGACTCTTTCACAGGGGTCACCTAAGACCATCGGAAAACACATATATAATTACATATTGTTTTTGTGATTAATCATTATGCTTTAATTATGTTCAATTTGTAACAATGAAATTGGGGGTCACCACAACATGAGGAACTGTATTAAAGAGTCATTAGGAAGGTTGAGAACCACTGGTCTAAACCATTAATGAAACTACATTTGCTAACTTCCTTCCTATGACTCGGTAACACAAATGTTAGAGAATAGGCAATGCCCTGGCTTTCGCTTCCAGGAAACACTGGAGTCAGGCTTGAACTCTGGCCCTGAACAGCTGTGTTCTCTTTGGTTGGCTGCCCAACATTCTGAGCCAGTTTTCGTTGGCATCAAACAGGAGTATTATCACCAACCTCACTGACAAATAGTGAAGATGAAAAGAGGTCACGGCAATGTCTATCAGGGGCCTAAGGACAGGCCCTGCCGTGGGTTCAACACCGTGAAACCTCGGCCACAGGAACCGCTCCCGGCTGGGACTCGAGAGAGGAAACCCGAGTCTACAGACAGCAAGCACCTCTCTTTGTTCCTCCCCCAAACCGTCCTCCCTCCCGCAGAGGCAGAGTGGTACCTCCTCAGACGGAGCGGGAATCCTCGCTCAGGTGGCCGTCCTCAGACCTCCTCGGGAACTGCTCCCGGATGTCCCCGGAGAGGGGGTAGTTATGCATTCCACTCCCTCAGTCTCCTCAGCCTGGCTCCTGCCGGCAGCATTAGATACATTCCAGTATCTTTCTTCAAGAAAGAAAGGAAACTTCTTGGACTCCACCTCCAGGACAGTCCTATCTTTGGCCTCCCCTTCAAGGTCACTTCTTACTTAAAAGAGTAGTTTGCACTGGCTGCCTCCTGAGTCCTCACCTCCCACTCACTCTTTTTTTTTTTTTTTTTTTTACTTTAATTTGGCTTCCAAGTCCATCAAACCAAAGAGATGTTTGTCAGTAAGTCACCATTGATTTCCTTGTTGCTCCTTTCAATGGCCATTTCTTGGTCCTTGTCGAATCCGCAGCATTCACAGCTCCAGGGGCTGGACCACCGGCGATCACTGCCCTCAGAAAAACTGCTGGAGAGTCTGCCACACTCCTCTCCTCGCCCACTTTCCCGGATCCTCTGTGAGTTCTCTTTCTCCAGCAATTCCCCAAACGTTGGTCTTTCTCAAAGCCCAATGTTCGACTTCTTCCTTCTTTCCATCAGCATTCTTTCCCTCGGCAAATTCACCCACTTTCCTAGCACCCATCCATAAGGTGGCCACACGTCCCAGGTTGCCCCAAACGGTTCTGGTTTAGCCTAGTTTTCCCAGCATAATAGATACCCTGTCCCCACCCCTCCACCCCACATCCCAGTTTAGATGCAAACAAAATATGTGGTCCCCTTATCTATTACCATTCGTATGCAGATGGCTCCGACTGGAGGCCATAAAGCAGTGAGGCTGAGGGGGTGGGCCCTGCAGCCAGCCCCCGGGGTTTCTATCCGGCTCCACTAGTCACCAGCCTCTGGGCCCCTGGGCGGGTTAAGCACTTCAGATTCCTCCTCCACAAAATGGGAACTACCCTAGGGATTTCTCAAGAGGCGAGGGTTAAATGAACAGATCTAAAATCATCAGCATGAGGTCTGCCACGTTTTTAAGTGTTCAATAAATTTAGCTAGCCAGGACATGTCTCCTGAGTTCCAGACATACCCAGGTAAGTGCAATAAAGTTCCAAGGAGGTGGGGGGGAGGGCCGGGAGTAGGCCAGTGTGTGTGGGCCTCTTATCACTTCTAAATTCTCTAGGCGCCCATTTATCCTCCCAACAAACTGTGGCTGAATTCCTAAGATATTTCTCTTGTGATCTTTGAATGCTCTTCCTAAGGGCAAGTATCAGTCCTCGGTGGGAATGGTGGCAGCATTTTCTTGCTCGGCATTTTCAGAGAGCTGCTGTGTAATTTATGCTTGAAACACTGGCTATAAGTTAGTGGAAATAAATTCTGCTTCTGAACTGCTGAAATGGAGTCATTTTTATTTTTCACGACTGTGGCTGTTTCCACTATTCTGAAAACGTCAAAGCGATATTGAATGATAGCCTGGATAGAGAGCAGTGCAACCATTTCTTGACAATAAAAAATAAGACATAATTCTTGAAAATACACTTGAGGAAGGAGGATGGTGTGATGTATTTGGGGGAAGCTGAGCACAGCGAACAATTTCACCTCTTAGATTTTATGATTAACTTTTTTACTTTCTGCAAGTTACTCTTAATCCTTAAGAAAGGGTCTTAGTTTGATCGAAATACTTTCTAAAATGGTATTTCTATTTTATATGTGTTTTCAAATTTCCTATCTTCACTTTCATTGACAGGCGAACATAGCTTCTGGGGGTCGAATGACCCTTTCACAGGGGTCGCCTAAGACCATCAGAAAACACATATATAATTACATATTGTTTTTGTGATTAATCACTATGCTTTAATTATGTTCAATTTGTAACAATGAAAATACATCCTGCATATCAGATATTTACATTATGATTCATAACAGTAGCAAAATTATAGTTATGAAGTAGCAACGAAAATAATTTTATGGTTGGCGGTCACCACCACATGAGGAACTGTATTAAAGGGTCGCGGCATTAGGAAGGTTGAGAACCACTGCCCCAAAGCCTGTGGGTGAATTAGAGAGCTGTGTACACTCAGAGGGCTTTTTCTTTTTCTTTTTTTTCTTTTTTAGGACATTTCATCACAAACTTTATTTATTCCCATAAAGTTAACAAGCCTTTCAGCTTGATTTTTATTGTCAGTGAACATGTATGATCAGACTACCTATTGCTTGCCTTGTATAGCAAAGTTCTTCAATAAACCAAGCAGACTTTTTATGATAATCTATTCAGTATATGAAGTTCTTTTGCAAATGACATAGAATGCCAGAGGAGTGTTGAACCTGTGATTGTTAGTGTTGTATTTTTATTTTATGTTTTTCAGAATAAGTCAGGCATTTTCTCATCTCTTCATGCTGCTCTGCCACTCAGCATTGAATGTTCCCTGTCCCCCTCCTCGGCTGAACTTCCGCTCTTTCTTTAAGACCCAGTTTAAAGTGCAGTTCTGTCTGCGAGCCCTCCCTGTCTTCCCAGACAGAAACATCTCTCGTCCTCTGACAGATGCCTCTGTTTAGCACGTGGTTCCGTTTTGTACTATTTTTAAATGCTCATTTGCCTTTCTACCCCCCTCTCGAGTCGTGGGTTTCACCCATCCTTGTGCCACTCACAGCTCCGGTGTTTTATGCAGAGTAGTTAGCATTCATTCATTGAGCATTTACTCTGACCCAGGCCTATTTTATTCTCACAAACTGATGGGGTGGGAGCTATTACTGTCTTCATGTTATGGATGAGTAAACTGAGGCCCGGAGAGGTTATGTACGGAGCCCAAGGTTGTTCAGCTAGTGAAAGGCAGGGCTGGTCTTTCACTGACTGTGAATCTTCTGATTAGGTAGGTAGGCTTAAGGTTTTGTTTTGTTTCTTTAGGAGGAAATATGGCTCCAGAGCCTGAGCTTTTAACCTTCGCTATAAATGTTTGTTGATATTTTGAGGGGGGAAAAATAGTCTTATCTAGAAAAAAAATATTTGCATGCTGTTTTCCTTTTTATTCTCTGTTGAAAAACAAAGCAAAGCAATGCTTTGTGCCCAGCTTTAACTGTTTTCCCTGAGAAAGCAGAGCAGGTATGAAGTCAGCTGAGGGCCATTTTTATCCCTCTGACAGCTCATTTCTTTCTATTCATGCGCCAATGGGAAGCTCAGTCACTGCCCCAAAGTCGTATTTGTATACTTATGCTGACTACTATGGATTCTAATCAGCAGTTAAATAAAGAGTCCCATGGTTGAAAAGGAAGGGTGATGTTGGAGCTAATAATGACTCAGTTGCTTTCAGCTGATGCACAGGTTGGATTCTGAAAATTCTGTCTCCAGGAATGGCCGCAAAGGCCATTTAACCAGTGAGCATTAGGCTGAGTCAGCAGGCTGGGGTTCCTGCCACCTCTGCAGCTCAAGTCACCTCTGTTTACATCCCTTAAACGGGAGAGATGATCCTTATGCTCCTCTAAGGAGATTACACAAAAGAGCTTTTAAAATGGATATTTTATTGTTGTTACTATTAACAATGTAGTATCTGAATACTAAGTGTAATAGTGTTTCTATGGGGAAATAATTTTTTCTTTTATTTATTTTTTTTTAAGCCTCATCTGATATGTTTAGAAACACACACACACACACACACACACAGAGAGAGAGAGAGAGAGAGAGAGAGAGAGAGAAAGATGCCAGTCAGTTGCCTCCTGTACACACCTCGACCAGGAATTGAACTCACAACCTAGGAATGTGCCCCGACCTGGAATTGAACCCACAACACTGGGTGCATGGGACAACGCTCCAACCAACTTAGCAACCCGACCAGGGCTTTTTTTTTTTTTTTAGTTTTGAGTTTAAAATTGGGATTTTAAGAGCCAGTCTCTGTCTGCCTAGCTCCTTGCGCATACTGTTTCTAAGAAGGATCTGGAAGATGTGGGTTTCCACTGCTGTGTGTGTTAGCAGCGTGACTGAGGATGTCCCCAGTTTCAAGCCCTGGGACGGGGAACAGGAGGAGGGACAAGGTCCAGGAGGTGCGGAAGCAGACAGAACAAGAGTCTATGCTGGGGAAATAATGCAAGGAACTAACTTCAGACACTAGGCTTTTCCCAAGTCCTGTTTCTTCCCTTCAGCACTGCCCTACTGAAGGGTGAACTGTGGAAACCAAAGGAAATGCTCCATCACCTCTACAAATGTTAATTATGGTTTTTCTGAGCCTCTTTAGTACTATTGGGGGGATGGGATTAAGTAGTTAAGGGAGATTGCCAGTAAATGAGGTATTTAACTTATTACTTAGTAACACTAAGACTTGTTATTTGGTAATTATTTAGTACCCACTCCAGCAGTATGTTACATGTTTTACCCGCTTACCTATCTATTCCTCTTAAGAATCCTGTGAAATTGGTACTTATCCCGCCTCCATTTTACACACTCGAAAATGAAGTTTGGCAGATTGAGTCATCTGCCCAAGGTCATCCATTTTCTCAAAAGCAGAGCTGGGAGTCAAAACTGATGCCAAGCCTTTGTGGTCAACCACAACATAGACGATAGCATGTACACCAGACGCTGCACATCCTTTCCTGCTCACAGCCTGCTGCTTCCTCTCACTGTACATTTTTAGAGATTTAGTAGTTTGCTATCAATCCTTATTATGAAATAACAGTTGTCTCTGTAGGGCTGTTCAGTTAATTGGAGGTGGCATGGAGTGGCTCGGATGGTGAGTCCTTCCTACAGAAAGTACCCGAGAAATGAGAATGCCAACAAAGGTAAAAAGTACCTCTCAGTTGATTCTAGATCTCTTTCCTAGAGACTCCTTTCTCGGCTGTCCATCAGAGTACCGGGTTGGAGAGAGAGCTCCGAGCCTGGGCTACAAGGCAGACAAGTTCACCTCTGGGTGCTGCTACGTTGGTGAGAGAGCCTCAGGGGAAAGGATGCCATTTCCGGTGGCATCTGGGGCAAATGACCGGAGTCAGCATTTATTCTCTCGCATTAGGAAGCGGAAGCCTAATGACCGAAGTTTTAGACATTGGTAAATATGAAACACAAATTGGTTAGTAAGCCCCAAATATAGCATCTTCCTGAAATTTGACTCTAAACTTGTTTTCATTTCATATTTCTCAGTAGTTTGGGTGCAGCTTCTAAGGACTCTTTGTTGTTGTGGGTTTTTTCTTGTTTTTTTTCCACAATTCAGACCCTTTGGTCTTATTACCCTAGCTTGCGTGGTGTGTTCACAGCTGAAAAAAATGACTAGAGTGGGCAAGGAGGGAAAGATGGTGGGGGGAAAGCAAGGGGAAGTGAGAAGAGAAATGGGGAAGTGATAGGAAGATGACTCCCTTTTCTAATTAAATTTTAATAGTAATAATCCTGTACTTTTGTGTGGTGCTCCTCCCAATGCCTTGTGGGTAGAAGAATAGCTCACTCCAAAGCTTCAGAACACTTTTCTGAGTCCTCCTCCTGTTCCATTTGAAACCAAGCGGTAACTGGAAGGGTGGGGGTGGGGGTGGGGCAGGAAGTGGTGTTCTGATTGATTAGATGTAGATCAGCTTGGAACTTTTGTTTTCTTTTTCTTTGAAAGGATATGCTTTGGATGAGGGGGATTATCACCTCCTCTGCAAATACCAAGATGAAAGAGGAAGAAACGTATTTTTAAAAAATGAGGAAATAAACCCTTAAAAAAGTTTTTCGCAAGTAGTGAACCTTCTATAGGTGTTTTAAACACTTCAGGAAGCAGCATTTCTCCATTACTAGTACATGAAATGGCATAAAATAACTAACAAACAAGAGTAACAGATTCCAAAAACAGTCCTGAAATGCATGCCCTACATGCTTCGTTTGTCTTTTAATACTATGCTCTTTAGAGATCCCGGCCTATAAAGCAAACATAGTTGTCTTTACTTGGGAAATGTCATTTTATTTTACTTCACTGATGCTCAATGTGTGGCTTAAAAATGAATTCCACACATTAAACATTGTTTTTATCCTCTAGCCAAAAGCCATAAATCAAGTTATTTTGCATTTTTTCATGAACTTTAATACAATCATTATTGTGTCTCAAGGCAGGGCTTCACCTAGAAACCATCTGATAACTTTAGTATTTTAAAATTTAGAGCATTCTATTACATAACTTTGAAATTTTGCCATTATTTGATTCTAGCATTTCTGATGAATTGAAAATCTTTCCAGTCCTTTAGATTCCAGGTAGTCTGTACATTGTGAGAATAAGAGAACAATCTAGGGGGGCAGGACTAAGATTTGCATAATCATTCACAAGGCCAGAGAAGGCAGGAGCTGGAATAATGCAAATGATCATCTTGATTACACAAGCTAAATTTAAAATAAAGTTGTTTAAGACCAAGCAACAGATTTTCTACTGATTTTCCTACTTCCAAGAACTTACGCTACACGCAGACAGTTCTACTATTGGTATTCTGGCTCCATATGTTCCATAGCTCAGTGTGCTGGCTTTCTTTCTTATCCACCAAACGTGGCTTTTTCCTAAGGGATGGCGAAAACTTTATATATATATATATGGCTAAGTGACTGGCCAACTGGCCAGTAGGTATGATGCACACTGACCACTAGGGGGCAGATGCTCAACGCAGGAGCTGCCTAGCGACAACAACTTTGCAGAGTGCCCTCTCGCACTCCAGGACCCCTTGGGGGATATGGGAGAGCCAGTTTCGGCCAGATCCCTGCAGGCCAGGCCCAGGGACCCCGCCTGCCGGAGGGACCCTGCTCACTCCCCAGACGCCCTTCGAGCCCCAGCGCCACCCCAGGTGCAGAGACTGGGGAAGGACCGAGAAGCTTGGCTCCAGAGCATGTCCAGCCTGTCTCACCCAGTCCTGCCCTGCCGGCCACCTTCTAATTAATTTCCTTTCAATGTGCACGAATCCGTGCACCAGGCCTCTAGTGTATGTATCATGTTCTACACTTACTTATAATGTGCTATCTCACAGCAGATCCCCCTTCATAAAATGAGGCGAGCTCTAATTGTTATCTTTCCTTTGCAGATGGTGAAACTGAGGCTCCCAGAAAGCTTCACGGAGCAGTGCAGGGACTTGGAGCCCTTCTGACCAGTGTCATCTTCCCTGCCCTCTCGGTGGGAGGCCAGACAGGGCCTACTGCCATTACGTCATTCTTAAATTATTTTGCTTATTTTTAGAAGGCTTTTAATGCACATGGCACAAAACTTCAAAAGGTACAAGGGGTATGAGCGAGAAGTACGCCCCCTTCCCTTTCTTGTTCCCTAATCCCTCATTTTTCCCTCTAGAACAGCGGTTCTCAACCTGTGGGTCGCGACCCCTTTGGGGGTCGAACGAACCCTTTCACGGGGTC